CTCCCCCCCCCCCCCCCCCACCCCCCCCCAGGGATGGCCCTGGCAGCAACATCTATTTTAATGTACGTTTGGATAAAATTGATTCCTGTTTTTAATGGATTGATCCATTAATCCCTCTGATTTTTTTTTTACTGATCAGAAATATACATAATGTTAACAACACTTATTGTTATTTCTTCTCAGGAAGGCACTGTGAACTATACAAAGATCCCTGTGTTAATATTAGCTGTCATAATGGTGGCACATGTAACAGTGAAGGTCTAAATGCTACATGCATTTGTGCACCTGGATTTACAGGTAAGTAATTTTTAAATTACATGGGGTATTATTGTTAGTAACTGTGTCAAAGAATGCAAATGTCAGATATATGCCATCTGATGCTGTGCATCTGCGCATTTTTTTCATATGAGTTATGAGGTATTTTAAAGCAGGCACTTTTACAGGGAAGAAATTATAAAGCAGCAATATCCCATTTTGGAATTCTGGGAAATATAATGTGAAATTAAAATGATAATGACATATTAATTGTGAATTATTGTACCTAAAGGTAGCTGTAAATCAAAGCACTAAATATGAGCTGTAACCTCTAAATCCAGATATTATAGCTTAAATCTACATTTAATATAATAGTTTACTGGTTTCGTTTACTAGTCCAAATACCTTGGTTTTTTAGGGAAAGCTATTTTATCCTTTTTGGGCTATATACTTTATGCTTTTCTTTGGGATATTTTGACATGGCTCACTCTTCCAGGTTTTATTTGCTACTTTTGGATGGAAGAGTTCCAGTATGCAAAGATGGGCTGGTGACAGTAATAAGTGCTCAAGAGGGCTAATGTAAGCTGAGCAAAAGAAGATTTGATTTTGACCTGAAGCTCAGACAGAGCTTTGGCTTGGAGAATACTGAGCAATCTTGCCTTTGTCCAACAAAGCATTCAAGTATGTGCATAATTTCAAGCATATAATTTCATTGAAATCCTTGGGATAATCACATACTTAAGAAAAAAACAATACTTAAGTACTCAAATGCTTTGAGGCCTAGAGTGCTTTGTATTCGCAAAATTGAACCTGGAACGAGAAATAAAGAGAGAATATTGGAGATCCATTTTCTACACAATTTCCATACAGTCTCAGAAGGGGAAGACCATTGTCTTGGCACGCAAAGGTATTTTCTTGGCATGTGCGCCTCAGAGCAGATAGCAGGGAAGGGGCTGGGACTGTGTTGCCACAACAAGGATTGGGCCCCTCATGGCTCCCCTGTAGGGCTGTGCAGAGCTTCAGATCATGATTCAGATTTGGAGATGATTCAGATGGTTTGGAGGCTGAATCTACAAATCCAAATCGAATTGTGGGAAGCTTTAGCTTCCAAATCGATTTGGAAAAGATTCGGAGATTTGGCCATAGGGTTGTGCAGGCCGGGAGCGACACGAGCCCTTTTTTGTGCTGCACGCGGGCTGTGGCCAGCAGCCCGGGCATGCTGGGTCGGAGAGGGGAGGCCGTCGAGCTGGAATTAGGCACAAACGCGTATCGGTAGTTTTAAAGATTGTTTATTTATACCGAGATGGCAGTGGTGTAGGCTGGAAAACTTGCTTGAGTTGCGGCTACAGACAGACAACACAGACGGTCTCGTGGAGGTTGCTAGGCTCCATGGAACAGAGCTCCGGATGCTCTGGGTGAACGAGCCACCAAAATGGAAATCGTAG